ATCAAGCTATCTCGAAGTTTTGGGCCTTTTTGCCCGTGATTCTTCACTTTACGACTAAACGATTCACAGCAGTGCCAAAATTTTGGCGTCACTGAATACGGGTGCCAGCGGCCTACAAGCAAACCAAAAATCAAATCAATGCGACCACTCACGTCACAGCTGGGTCATGTTATAGAGAGGTACGTTGAAAGTGACACGTGGGCACAAATGGTCAAAAGACACAATTTCTCACCTTTCTGCCCGTTCAAAGCTCAAGAACTGACCATCGCAACCCTGATCTTGTTGTTTAGCTGGACATAGGGAAGTGCACGAAGAAAAAATGCCACATTTCAATAAACAACTTGCCCAGGGCTGCTCAAAGCTGAAATCAAGCTATTTTGAAGTTTTGGGCCTTTTTGCCCGTGATTCTTCACTTTACGACTAAACGATTCACAGCAGTGCCAAAATTTTGGCGTCACTGAATACGGGTGCCAGCGGCCTACAAGCAAACCAAAAATCAAATCAATGCGACCACTCACGTCACAGCTGGGTCATGTTATAGAGAGGTACGTTGAAAGTGACACGTGGGCACAAATGGTCAAAAAGAGACAATTTCTCACCTTTCTGCCCGTTCGAAGCTCAAGAACTGACCATCGCCACCCTGATCTTGTTGTTCAGCTGGACATAGGGAAGTGCACGAAGAAAAAATGCCACATTTCAATAAACAACTTGCCCAGGTCTGCTCAAAGCTGAAATCAAGCTATTTTGAAGTTTTGGGCCTTTTTGCCCGTGATTCTTCACTTTACGACTAAACGATTCACAGCAGTGCCAAAATTTTGGCGTCACTGAATACGGGTGCCAGCGGCCTACAAGCAAACCAAAAATCAAATCAATGCGACCACTCACGTCACAGCTGGGTCATGTTATAGAGAGGTACGTTGAAAGTGACACGTGGGCACAAATGGTCAAAAAGAGACAATTTCTCACCTTTCTGCCCGTTCGAAGCTCAAGAACTGACCATCGCCACCCTGATCTTGTTGTTCAGCTGGACATAGGGAAGTGCACGAAGAAAAAATGCCACATTTCAATAAACAACTTGCACAGGGCTGCTCAAAGCTCAAATCAAGCTATCTCGAAGTGTTGGGCCTTTTTGCCCGTGATTCTCCACTTTGCGACGAAACTATTCACAGCAGTGCCAACATTTTGACGTCACTGAATACGGGTGCCAATGGCCTACAAGCAAACCAAAAATCAAATCAATGCGACCACTCACGTCACAACTGGGTCATGTTATAGAGAGGTACGTTGAAAGTGACACGTTGCCACAAATGGTCAAAAAGAGACAATTTCTCACCTTTCTGCCCGTTCGAAGCTCAAGAACTGACCATCGCCACCCTGATCTTGTTGTTTAGCTGGACATAGGGAAGTGCACGAAGAAAAAATGCCACATTTGAATAAACAACTTGCCCAGGGCTGCTCAAAGCTCAAATCAACCTATCTCGAAGTGATGGGCCTTTTTGCCCGTGATTCTTCACTTTGCGACGAAACTATTCACAGCAGTGCCAAAATTTTAGCGTCACTGAATACGGGTGCCAGCGGCCTACAAGCAAACCAAAAATCAAATCAATGCGACCACTCACGTCACAGCTGGGTCATGTTATAGAGAGGTACGTTGAAAGTGACACGTGGGCACAAATGGTCAAAAAGAGACAATTTCTCACCTTTCTGCCCGTTCGAAGCTCAAGAACTGACCATCGCCACCCTGATCTTGTTGTTTAGCTGGACATAGGGAAGTGCACGAAGAAAAAATGCCACATTTCAATAAACAACTTGCCCAGGGCTGCTCAAAGCTCAAATCAAGCTATCTCGAAGTTTTGGGCCTTTTTGCCCGTGATTCTTCACTTTACGACTAAACGATTCACAGCAGTGCCAAAATTTTGGCGTCACTGAATACGGGTGCCAGCGGCCTACAAGCAAACCAAAAATCAAATCAATGCGACCACTCACGTCACAGCTGGGTCATGTTATAGAGAGGTACGTTGAAAGTGACACGTGGGCACAAATGGTCAAAAAGAGACAATTTCTCACCTTTCTGCCCGTTCGAAGCTCAAGAACTGACCATCGCCACCCTGATCTTGTTGTTTAGCTGGACATAGGGAAGTGCACGAAGAAAAAATGCCACATTTCAATAAACAACTTGCCCAGGGCTGCTCAAAGCTCAAATCAACCTATCTCGAAGTGATGGGCCTTTTTGCCCGTGATTCTTCATTTTGCGACGAAACTATTCACAGCAGTGCCAAAATTTTAGCGTCTCTGAATACGGGTGCCAGCGGCCTACAAGCAAACCAAAAATCAAATCAATGCGACCACTCACGTCACAGCTGGGTCATGTTATAGAGAGGTACGTTGAAAGTGACACGTGGGCACAAATGGTCAAAAAGAGACAATTTCTCACCTTTCTGCCCGTTCGAAGCTCAAAAACTGACCATCGCCACCCTGATCTTGTTGTTTAGCTGGACATAGGGAAGTGCACGAAGAAAAAATGCCACATGTCCATAAACAACTTGCCCAGGGCTGCTCAAAGCTCAAATCAACCTATCTCGAAGTGATGGGCCTTTTTGCCCGTGATTCTTCACTTTGCGACGAAACTATTCACAGCAGTGCCAACATTTTGACAACACTGAATACGGGTGCCAATGGCCTACAAGCAAACCAAAAATCAAATCAATGCGACCACTCACGTCACAACTGGGTTATGTTATAGAGAGGTACGTTGAAAGTGACACGTGGGCACAAATGGTCAAAAAGAGACAATTTCTCACCTTTCTGCCCGTTCGAAGCTCAAGAACTGACCATCGCCACCCTGATCTTGTTGTTTAGCTGGACATAGGGAAGTGCACGAAGAAAAAATGCCACATTTCAATAAACAACTTGCCCAGGGCTGCTCAAAGCTCAAATCAGGCTATCTCGAAGTTTTGGGCCTTTTTGCCCGTGATTCTTCACTTTACGACTAAACGATTCACAGCAGTGCCGAAATTTTGGCGTCACTGAATACGGGTGCCAGCGGCCTACAAGCAAACCAAAAATCAAATCAATGCGACCACTCACGTCACAGCTGGGTCATGTTATAGAGAGGTACGTTGAAAGTGACACGTGGGCACAAATGGTCAAAAAGAGACAATTTCTCACCTTTCTGCCCGTTCGAAGCTCAAGAACTGACCATCGCCACCCTGATCTTGTTGTTTAGCTGGACATAGGGAAGTGCACGAAGAAAAAATGCCACATTTCAATGAACAACTTGCCCAGGGCTGCTCAAAGCTCAAATCAAGCTATCTCGAAGTGTTGGGCCTTTTTGCCCGTGATTCTTCACTTTGCGACGAAACTATTCACAGCAGTGCAAAAACATTTTGACGTCTCTGAATACGGGTGCCAATGGCCTACAAGCAAACCAAAAATCAAATCAATGCGACCACTACCGTCACAACTGGGTTATGTTATAGAGAGGTACATTGAAAGTGACACGTGGGCACAAATGGTCAAAAAGAGACAATTTCTCACCTTTCTGCCCGTTCGAAGCTCAAGAACTGATCATCGCCACCCTGATTTTGTTTTTTAGCTGGACATACGGAAGTGCACGAAGAAAAAATGCCACATTTCAATAAACAACTTGCCCAGGGCTGCTCAAAGCTCAAATCAACCTATCTCGAAGTGTTGGGCCTTTTTGCCCGTGATTCTTCACTTTGCGACGAAACTATTCAGAGCAGTGCCAACATTTTGACGTCACTGAATACGGGTGCCAATGGCCTACAAGCAAACCAAAAATCAAATCGATGCGACCACTCACGTCACAACTGGGTTATGTTATAGAGAGGTACGTTGAAAGTGACACGTGGGCACAAATGGTCAAAAAGAGACAATTTCTCACCTTTCTGCCCGTTCGAAGCTCAAGAACTGACCATCGCCACCCTGATCTTGTTGTTTAGCTGGACATAGGGAAGTGCACGAAGAAAAAATGCCACATTTCAATAAACAACTTGCCCAGGGCTGCTCAAAGCTCAAATCAAGCTATCTCGAAGTGTTGGGCCTTTTTGCCCGTGATTCTTCACTTTGCGACGAAACTATTCACAGCAGTGCAAAAACATTTTGACGTCTCTGAATACGGGTGCCAATGGCCTACAAGCAAACCAAAAATCAAATCAATGCGACCACTACCGTCACAACTGGGTTATGTTATAGAGAGGTACATTGAAAGTGACACGTGGGCACAAATGGTCAAAAAGAGACAATTTCTCACCTTTCTGCCCGTTCGAAGCTCAAGAACTGATCATCGCCACCCTGATTTTGTTTTTTAGCTGGACATAGGGAAGTGCACGAAGAAAAAATGCTACATTTCAATAAACAACTTGCCCAGGGCTGCTCAAAGCTGAAACCAAGCTATCTCGAAGTTTTGGGCCTTTTTGCCCGTGTTTCTTCACTTTGCGACGAAACTATTCACAGCAGTGCCAAAATTTTGACGTCACTGAATACGGGTGCCAATGGCCTACAAGCAAACCAAAAATCAAATCAATGCGACCACTCACGTCACAACTCGGTCATGTTATAGAGAGGTACGTGGAAAGTGACACGTGGGCACAAATGGTCAAAAAGAGACAATTTCTCACCTTTCTGCCCGTTCGAAGCTCAAGAACTGACCATCGCCACCCTGATCTTGTTGTTTAGCTGGACATAGGGAAGTGCACGAAGAAAAAATGCCACATTTCAATAAACAACTTGCCCAGGGCTGCTCAAAGCTCAAATCAAGCTATCTCGAAGTGTTGGGCCTTTTTGCCCGTGATTCTTCACTTTGCGACGAAACTATTCACAGCAGTGCCAACATTTTGACGTCACTGAATACGGGTGCCAATGGCCTACAAGCAAACCAAAAATCAAATCAATGCGACCACTCACGTCACAACTGGGTCATGTTATAGAGAGGTACGTTGAAAGTGACACGTGGGCACAAATGGTCAAAAAGAGACAATTTCTCACCTTTCTGCCCGTTCGAAGCTCAAGAACTGACCATCGCCACCCATATCTTGTTGTTTAGCTGGACATAGGGAAGTGCACGAAGAAAAAATGCCACATTTCAATAAACAACTTGCCCAGGGCTGCTCAAAGCTGAAATCAAGCTATCTCGAAGTTTTGGGCCTTTTTGCCCGTGATTCTTCACTTTACGACTAAACGATTCACAGCAGTGCCAAAATTTTGGCGTCACTGAATACGGGTGCCAGCGGCCTAAAAGCAAACCAAAAATCAAATCAATGCGACCACTCACGTCACAGCTGGGTCATGTTATAGAGAGGTACGTTGAAAGTGACACGTGGGCACAAATGGTCAAAAAGAGACAATTTCTCACCTTTCTGCCCGTTCGAAGCTCAAGAACTGACCATCGCCACCCTGATCTTGTTGTTTAGCTGGACATAGGGAAGTGCACGAAGAAAAAATGCCACATTTCAATGAACAACTTGCCCAGGGCTGCTCAAAGCTCAAATCAAGCTATCTCGAAGTGTTGGGCCTTTTTGCCCGTGATTCTTCACTTTGCGACGAAACTATTCACAGCAGTGCAAAAACATTTTGACGTCTCTGAATACGGGTGCCAATGGCCTACAAGCAAACCAAAAATCAAATCAATGCGACCACTACCGTCACAACTGGGTTATGTTATAGAGAGGTACATTGAAAGTGACACGTGGGCACAAATGGTCAAAAAGAGACAATTTCTCACCTTTCTGCCCGTTCGAAGCTCAAGAACTGATCATCGCCACCCTGATTTTGTTTTTTAGCTGGACATACGGAAGTGCACGAAGAAAAAATGCCACATTTCAATAAACAACTTGCCCAGGGCTGCTCAAAGCTCAAATCAACCTATCTCGAAGTGTTGGGCCTTTTTGCCCGTGATTCTTCACTTTGCGACGAAACTATTCACAGCAGTGCCAACATTTTGACGTCACTGAATACGGGTGCCAATGGCCTACAAGCAAACCAAAAATCAAATCGATGCGACCACTCACGTCACAACTGGGTTATGTTATAGAGAGGTACGTTGAAAGTGACACGTGGGCACAAATGGTCAAAAAGAGACAATTTCTCACCTTTCTGCCCGTTCGAAGCTCAAGAACTGACCATCGCCACCCTGATCTTGTTGTTTAGCTGGACATAGGGAAGTGCACGAAGAAAAAATGCCACATTTCAATAAACAACTTGCCCAGGGCTGCTCAAAGCTCAAATCAAGCTATCTCGAAGTGTTGGGCCTTTTTGCCCGTGATTCTTCACTTTGCGACGAAACTATTCACAGCAGTGCAAAAACATTTTGACGTCTCTGAATACGGGTGCCAATGGCCTACAAGCAAACCAAAAATCAAATCAATGCGACCACTACCGTCACAACTGGGTTATGTTATAGAGAGGTACATTGAAAGTGACACGTGGGCACAAATGGTCAAAAAGAGACAATTTCTCACCTTTCTGCCCGTTCGAAGCTCAAGAACTGATCATCGCCACCCTGATTTTGTTTTTTAGCTGGACATAGGGAAGTGCACGAAGAAAAAATGCTACATTTCAATAAACAACTTGCCCAGGGCTGCTCAAAGCTCAAACCAAGCTATCTCGAAGTTTTGGGCCTTTTTGCCCGTGATTCTTCACTTTGCGACGAAACTATTCACAGCAGTGCCAAAATTTTGACGTCACTGAATACGGGTGCCAATGGCCTACAAGCAAACCAAAAATCAAATCAATGCGACCACTCACGTCACAACTCGGTCATGTTATAGAGAGGTACGTGGAAAGTGACACGTGGGCACAAATGGTCAAAAAGAGACAATTTCTCACCTTTCTGCCCGTTCGAAGCTCAAGAACTGACCATCGCCACCCTGATCTTGTTGTTTAGCTGGACATAGGGAAGTGCACGAAGAAAAAATGCCACATTTCAATAAACAACTTGCCCAGGGCTGCTCAAAGCTCAAATCAAGCTATCTCGAAGTGTTGGGCCTTTTTGCCCGTGATTCTTCACTTTGCGACGAAACTATTCACAGCAGTGCCAACATTTTGACGTCACTGAATACGGGTGCCAATGGCCTACAAGCAAACCAAAAATCAAATCAATGCGACCACTCACGTCACAACTGGGTCATGTTATAGAGAGGTACGTTGAAAGTGACACGTGGGCACAAATGGTCAAAAAGAGACAATTTCTCACCTTTCTGCCCGTTCGAAGCTCAAGAACTGACCATCGCCACCCATATCTTGTTGTTTAGCTGGACATAGGGAAGTGCACGAAGAAAAAATGCCACATTTCAATAAACAACTTGCCCAGGGCTGCTCAAAGCTCAAATCAAGCTATCTCGAAGTTTTGGGCCTTTTTGCCCGTGATTCTTCACTTTGCGGCTAAATTATTCACAGCAGTGCCAAAATTTTAGCGTCACTGAATGCGGGTGCCAGCGGCCTACAAGCAAACCAAAAATCAAATCAATGCGACCACTCACGTCACAGCTGGGTCATGTTATAGAGAGGTACGTTGAAAGTGACATGTGGGCACAAATGGTCAAAAAGAGACAATTTCTCACCTTTCTGCCCGTTCGAAGCTCAAGAACTGACCATCGCCACCCTGATCTTGTTGTTTAGCTGGACATAGGGAAGTGCACGAAGAAAAAATGCCACATTTCAATAAACAACTTGCCCAGGGCTGCTCAAAGCTCAAATCAAGCTATTTTGAAGTTTTGGGCCTTTTTGCCCGTGATTCTTCACTTTACGACTAAACGATTCACAGCAGTGCCAAAATTTTGGCGTCACTGAGTACGGGTGCCAGCGGCCTACAAGCAAACCAAAAATCAAATCAATGCGACCACTCACGTCACAGCTGGGTCATGTTATAGAGAGGTACGTTGAAAGTGACACGTGGGCACAAATGGTCAAAAAGAGACAATTTCTCACCTTTCTGCCCGTTCGAAGCTCAAGAACTGACCATCGCCACCCTGATCTTGTTGTTTAGCTGGACATAGGGAAGTGCACGAAGAAAAAATGCCACATTTCAATAAACAACTTGCCCAGGGCTGCTCAAAGCTGAAATCAAGCTATTTTGAAGTTTTGGGCCTTTTTGCCCGTGATTCTTCACTTTACGACTAAACGATTCACAGCAGTGCCAAAATTTTGGCGTCACTGAATACGGGTGCCAGCGGCCTACAAGCAAACCAAAAATCAAATCAATGCGACCACTCACGTCACAGCTGGGTCATGTTATAGAGAGGTACGTTGAAAGTGACATGTGGGCACAAATGGTCAAAAAGAGACAATTTCTCACCTTTCTGCCCGTTCGAAGCTCAAGAACTGACCATCGCCACCCTGATCTTGTTGTTTAGCTGGACATAGGGAAGTGCACGAAGAAAAAATGCCACATTTCAATAAACAACTTGCCCAGGGCTGCTCAAAGCTGAAATCAAGCTATTTTGAAGTTTTGGGCCTTTTTGCCCGTGATTCTTCACTTTACGACTAAACGATTCACAGCAGTGCCAAAATTTTGGCGTCACTGAATACGGGTGCCAGCGGCCTACAAGCAAACCAAAAATCAAATCAATGCGACCACTCACGTCACAGCTGGGTCATGTTATAGAGAGGTACGTTGAAAGTGACATGTGGGCACAAATGGTCAAAAAGAGACAATTTCTCACCTTTCTGCCCGTTCGAAGCTCAAGAACTGACCATCGCCACCCTGATCTTGTTGTTTAGCTGGACATAGGGAAGTGCACGAAGAAAAAATGCCACATTTCAATAAACAACTTGCCCAGGGCTGCTCAAAGCTGAAATCAAGCTATTTTGAAGTTTTGGGCCTTTTTGCCCGTGATTCTTCACTTTACGACTAAACGATTCACAGCAGTGCCAAAATTTTGGCGTCACTGAATACGGGTGCCAGCGGCCTACAAGCAAACCAAAAATCAAATCAATGCGACCACTCACGTCACAGCTGGGTCATGTTATAGAGAGGTACGTTGAAAGTGACATGTGGGCACAAATGGTCAAAAAGAGACAATTTCTCACCTTTCTGCCCGTTCGAAGCTCAAGAACTGACCATCGCCACCCTGATCTTGTTGTTTAGCTGGACATAGGGAAGTGCACGAAGAAAAAATGCCACATTTCAATAAACAACTTGCCCAGGGCTGCTCAAAGCTGAAATCAAGCTATTTTGAAGTTTTGGGCCTTTTTGCCCGTGATTCTTCACTTTACGACTAAACGATTCACAGCAGTGCCAAAATTTTGGCGTCACTGAATACGGGTGCCAGCGGCCTACAAGCAAACCAAAAATCAAATCAATGCGACCACTCACGTCACAGCTGGGTCATGTTATAGAGAGGTACGTTGAAAGTGACACGTGGGCACAAATGGTCAAAAAGAGACAATTTCTCACCTTTCTGCCCGTTCGAAGCTCAAGAACTGACCATCGCCACCCTGATCTTGTTGTTCAGCTGGACATAGGGAAGTGCACGAAGAAAAAATGCCACATTTCAATAAACAACTTGCCCAGGGCTGCTCAAAGCTCAAATCAAGCTATCTCGAAGTGTTGGGCCTTTTTGCCCGTGATTCTTCACTTTGCGACGAAACTATTCACAGCAGTGCCAACATTTTGACGTCACTGAATACGGGTGCCAATGGCCTACAAGCAAACCAAAAATCAAATCAATGCGACCACTCACGTCACAACTGGGTCATGTTATAGAGAGGTACGTTGAAAGTGACACGTGGGCACAAATGGTCAAAAAGAGACAATTTCTCACCTTTCTGCCCGTTCGAAGCTCAAGAACTGACCATCGCCACCCTGATCTTGTTGTTTAGCTGGACATAGGGAAGTGCACGAAGAAAAAATGCCACATTTCAATAAACAACTTGCCCAGGGCTGCTCAAAGCTGAAATCAAGCTATTTTGAAGTTTTGGGCCTTTTTGCCCGTGATTCTTCACTTTACGACTAAACGATTCACAGCAGTGCCAAAATTTTGGCGTCACTGAATACGGGTGCCAGCGGCCTACAAGCAAACCAAAAATCAAATCAATGCGACCACTCACGTCACAGCTGGGTCATGTTATAGAGAGGTACGTTGAAAGTGACATGTGGGCACAAATGGTCAAAAAGAGACAATTTCTCACCTTTCTGCCCGTTCGAAGCTCAAGAACTGACCATCGCCACCCTGATCTTGTTGTTTAGCTGGACATAGGGAAGTGCACGAAGAAAAAATGCCACATTTCAATAAACAACTTGCCCAGGGCTGCTCAAAGCTGAAATCAAGCTATTTTGAAGTTTTGGGCCTTTTTGCCCGTGATTCTTCACTTTACGACTAAACGATTCACAGCAGTGCCAAAATTTTGGCGTCACTGAATACGGGTGCCAGCGGCCTACAAGCAAACCAAAAATCAAATCAATGCGACCACTCACGTCACAGCTGGGTCATGTTATAGAGAGGTACGTTGAAAGTGACACGTGGGCACAAATGGTCAAAAAGAGACAATTTCTCACCTTTCTGCCCGTTCGAAGCTCAAGAACTGACCATCGCCACCCTGATCTTGTTGTTCAGCTGGACATAGGGAAGTGCACGAAGAAAAAATGCCACATTTCAATAAACAACTTGCCCAGGGCTGCTCAAAGCTCAAATCAAGCTATCTCGAAGTGTTGGGCCTTTTTGCCCGTGATTCTTCACTTTGCGACGAAACTATTCACAGCAGTGCCAACATTTTGACGTCACTGAATACGGGTGCCAATGGCCTACAAGCAAACCAAAAATCAAATCAATGCGACCACTCACGTCACAACTGGGTCATGTTATAGAGAGGTACGTTGAAAGTGACACGTGGGCACAAATGGTCAAAAAGAGACAATTTCTCACCTTTCTGCCCGTTCGAAGCTCAAGAACTGACCATCGCCACCCTGATCTTGTTGTTTAGCTGGACATAGGGAAGTGCACGAAGAAAAAATGCCACATTTCAATAAACAACTTGCCCAGGGCTGCTCAAAGCTCAAATGAACCTATCTCGAAGTGATGGGCCTTTTTGCCCGTGATTCTTCACTTCGCGACGAAACTATTCACAGCAGTGCCAAAATTTTAGCGTCACTGAATACGGGTGGCAGCGGCCTACAAGCAAACCAAAAATCAAATCAATGCGACCACTCACGTCACAGCTGGGTCATGTTATAGAGAGGTACGTTGAAAGTGACACGTGGGCACAAATGGTCAAAAAGAGACAATTTCTCACCTTTCTGCCCGTTCGAAGCTCAAGAACTGACCATCGCCACCCTGATCTTGTTGTTTAGCTGGACATAGGGAAGTGCACGAAGAAAAAATGCCACATTTCAATAAACAACTTGCCCAGGGCTGCTCAAAGCTGAAATCAAGCTATTTTGAAGTTTTGGGCCTTTTTGCCCGTGATTCTTCACTTTACGACTAAACGATTCACAGCAGTGCCAAAATTTTGGCGTCACTGAATACGGGTGCCAGCGGCCTACAAGCAAACCAAAAATCAAATCAATGCGACCACTCACGTC